AACCTATTGCTTATTTCATCCCCTCCCCTCCGAAATATTGCCAGTAATATGTTGTTAAATTCTTAACCTAATAAAACAAGATTGTGTAGGGTGTGGTCTCTTAATCAAGGACCAACAAGTGTGTGTAACCCTTCTATAGCGCAGTTAACTGGTTCAACTCTCTCATAGACACTACCACCACTCTAACCATAACTATTAAACCAAAGCATAACCATAACTAACTTTAAATTTAACCATACACCTAATCATAATCTTAAACGTTTACATAGTTATCACACTGACTTAACCCACAGTTAGACATATTTCTACCCATATAGTAGCGGCTAACTTAATCTTTACCCTAATCCTACTTTAACCCGGCTGTAGCTCTTGTTCTACCTCAGCAACACAAAAGATTTTAAGCAGCTTTCACAAACCATAGATAGATCTAACAGGTCTTTGGGTGGCGATTGAAAAAAAAAAGATGAGTATTGTATTTTTAGAATATTATCATGGAGAAATTTAAATAAATACATTTTTTTTTTGCCCAATTACCATTTTATAGGCAGTTGAATAAAATACGTTATCTGATTTTTTTTTTCCTGTTAGCTACTCTAAATCACCTTCCTGCAACAGCTATGGTCTGACATATTGTGTGTGGGGGGAGAGGGGTGGAGGGGGGGGTGATCTAGTTATGTGTAACATCTGGTTTTTTTTTAATGGTTAAGCTTTATGGAAAATAACCGGTGACATTATTTATGAAAGAAGGGAAGATTTTAAAAATAATGTATGAAGCGAGATGAGGGGGGATGGGATATTACATTTTAATTTAGACAGATAACGGGTGGGGAAGAGAAGGGGTAATTTATTTTTACTTCAAATATAGACATTCTGTAGGGTTGTGGGTAAACGAGGAAGAGGGGGGGTATTTAAATATTTAGGGATAGGTGTTGGGTGCTAGAGAACTGAAGTGATCAGCTTTGTGTGTAAGTAAATGTTTACAGAATTTAAAAGTGATCAGTCCTATTTAGTTGATGTAATGTTTGTTAAGAAAATTCTTCATGCCTTTCTTCATGTTCCCATACTTTCCACGTCCCATACTTTCCACGTTTTATACTTTCCATGTCGCATATTTTCCATGTCCCATACTTTCCACGTCCCATACTTTCCACGTTTTATACTTTCCATGTCGCATATTTTCCATGTCCCATACTTTCCACGTCCCATACTTTCCACGTTTTATACTTTCCATGTCCTATACTTTCCATGTCCCATACTTTCCATGTCCCATACTTTCCACGTCCCATACTTTCCACGTTTTATACTTTCCATGTCGCATATTTTCCATGTCGCATATTTTCCATGTCCCATACTTTCCACGTCCCATACTTTCCACGTTTTATACTTTCCATGTCCTATACTTTCCATGTCCCATACTTTCCATGTCCCATACTTTCCACGTCCCATACTTTCCACGTTTTATACTTTCCATGTCGCATATTTTCCATGTCCCATACTTTCCATGTCCCATACTTTCCACGTCCCATACTTTCCACGTTTTATACTTTCCATGTCGCATATTTTCCATGTCCGATACTTTTGATCACCCATTACTTCATGGCAAGTGTTTCTTTTCGAAAATCGTCTACCGCCCCCCCCCCGCCCCCCATCCCGATCGAAATATAATTTATATAGAACATGTACTTTTAACAGTGCCCCCCCCCCCCTCTCACCGGAAAATTTAGACCGCTCCACCCCCGCCCGGAGAAAAAAAGGCTGAAAGAAACACTGTTCATGGACCATACCTTCATTGCACATACGTTCATAAACAATACTACCCCATACTTTTGAAAACCCATTACTTCATGCTCCATACTTTCATGGCGCATACCTCTATAGCACATACCTTTATGGCCAATAAATTGATGGCCAATGCTTTTGATGACCCATTAATTACTGGCCAATTACTTCATGGCCAATACTATCCATGTCCCAATTACTTCATGGCCAATACTATCCATGTCCCATTCTTTTGATGGCCCATTACTTCATGGCCAATGCTATCCATGTCCCATTCTTTTGATGGCCCATTACTTCATGGCCAATACTATCCATGTCCCATTCTTTTGATGGCCCATTACTTCATGGCCAATTACTTCATGGCCAATACTATCCATGTCCCATTCTTTTGATGGCCAATTACTTCATGGCCAATACTATCCATGTCCCATTCTTTTGATGGCCAATTACTTCATGGCCAATACTATCCATGTCCCATTCTTTTGATGGCCAATTACTTCATGGCCAATACCTTTCATGGCCAATACCTCTATTCGTTATTATCTGTATGTTCATGACCTAATGCACCACAAAATAAAAATTAAAAAAAAAATAATTTAATATTTCCAAGCCTGGTGGAAAAAAAACAACAGATTAGATAGATTATACCATTTTAAAGGATAAACCAACCGTCCAGTTTTGACACCATCAGAGACCACCCCCCCCCCACCCCCCAACGGCTTAATGTAACATTCGCCATAAAACACTAGACAACTAAAGGATCGCCAGAGAAATTAATTAAGACGATGGTGGTCAAAAAAATGCTGGTGCTTTGTAAATTAGTTGCATCATTAGTACAGCCCGAAATGTGAGCTTGGAATTGGGTCAATCAAAGATCTATAGAACAAGTTTTTTTAAATAAAATGTTCTCATTTCAGATCTAATGATCCAGATTAAATAGAGTTCATGTTTCTTGACCTCGCAAAATTAGGGATTAATTGTTAAAAGTTTAAATATAGATCTAGTTATCCTGTGAACATTATGGAAGGTACCTTCATCAATAATGGACGCTACAATTCAGTAAGACTTTGAACTGTCAACCTTTCAGTACGTTAAAACTTCAAACGAAATGTTGCAAAATTTGATATTTGGGGCCCACATCAATTTTCTTTTTAAAAAAAAAATTATGAAGACAACGGCATGTTAACTGGAAAACTGTTTCAATAGAGAGAACAAGCCGCCCCAACGTTGAGTAAAGTCAAAATTTGCCGTCTTCTCACACAGGCTCAAGTTGCCGATTGATTTTTCCCGTGTCAATTTCGTCTGTTGTTTTTCAGTTTTTCATTGGCTGGTGGCAAAGTTGACACTGCTTAACCCCGCCCACTCGCGCGATGTCTCATTCTCGGTGTGTGTTGTCGTGATCGCGCGGTGAAATACGGGTCACACTGGGCTACGGGAAACGGTCTGTGTGTCGGGTCCGCCTTGCTGGTTGTCAATGATTGCAGGGGAGCGACCTGGTCGGCGCGTGGGGTTTGAGGACACGGTGGGCGGGGCTACCGGAAGGTGGACACGGGAGGCTGGGCCGGCGAGATTTGTCACTCCTGTATGGACCAAGTGCGAGCGTCCACACAGCAAGGGCGACATTTTTTCTCACCGGCAGGGTGGCATCTAACACAGTCGAGCAGCACACCGTCCTGTCGCTAGCCACACCGTCACGGACCGCAGTTGTTAGCTCGTGCTTGACGTCTGCTCAAAGCTGACCGGCTGCAATCACCTCCTGACGACAAGCCAGCCTAGCCTGGCCTGCTGCACGATTTGATCGAGAAAAAAGGTGCACAGTTTTTGTCAAACGCGTTTCGATTTCTCCAGTTGTTGTTAGTTTTCGCGCCATTGGATGAAGCAGAAGTGGCTATCGTCTGTGAAAGAGATCTGTGAATTTTCGCCGTTTTCTCCAACAGATTGTAGATCTATCAGGTCTAGAGATTTATTCGGAGTTGGGCGACCAATATTTACAATATAGATGAAAAAGTTAACAGGTTTCTTAATTCTTGGATTAAACTCTTTTATTTCACGATGTGGCAGGAATTTCTAATTAACATATTGGGTAAATTAGTCTCAAGTTGATACAAGCAAATTACTTAAATCTCTGGAAATATTTTTTTTAGTTATTAAGGCTTGACTGGATTTCTAGACTCTAGATCTAGAATAGATCTTTTTAATCTAGTTTTCCCAAAGGTTTACAAAAGAAATTTTTTGGTCATTTCGGCTTTTGGAGGTTAAATTAAGCCTTTATTTACCGGACTGAGAATTGACTGGATTTGGAGGATATACTGACCACTGTCATCTGCAGCTACACCCACCCAGGTGACACCCATGCATCACCCAAGCTACTACCCGGGGCAGGCCAATACAGGTGTCTCACCTTTTTCATCCTCCCCCCACACAGGTAAGTCAGTGCTATGTCTACCTTGATTTTTCAAATACTTTTGCTACAACTCGATGTGCGCTTATTAACAGAACGGGCTTAAATTTAGATGAAAAAAATATTTTTGACCGGGTGGGTATTTGAACTTGACGACAGCTATCAACAGTTAATTACGTCTTTGATTGGGTTGTGTATTTTTTTAAAACTGATTAGGCTACATATTTGAGCGGCTGGTGTGTTCAACAGTTAATTACATACAAATATTCAAATATCATTAAATTAACATTGTACATCCCTGAATGTCGATCGTCCCTAATTAAAAGTGAAAAAAATGCTATATGTTTATGGCTCGAGGTTTTATTACAACTCACCCGTTAATAGAAATCGATATCGGCTTCAAAAACTCATTTTATATAATTTAAAAAAAAATAATTTTTTTTTTTTAATTTTCAAGCTAAAACGCAATCTAAAATTTACCAGCCTGTTAGAACTGTAAGGATTAAAAATTATGTTTTGTATTTATTTGTTGAAGGTATTGTTTCAATTATTTAAATGGTTTTAACGTAATCTACTATTCCATGTTTCTAAACCAAGACCCCCGTCGCGAGCACATGTTGGGAACTCGTGTATGTAAATGGTACTTCATAAAATTTTTTCTTCACTTTACTCATGATGCCGCGATAAAAAGTACTCGATTTTTTAAAATTTAAACCGGTCACTTCAGTACGATGGTCAAATAGGTTTAGCTTTAAATGACACAATCTTTAATGGCAAAGTTTAGCCGTTTTTTTCCCCTGAGATGGGGGAGGGTATGTGTGTGTGTGTGTGTGACACAAGTGATTAAAATATAAAAATTCTATTAAAATTTAATTTCTATTTCTTATCCCACTTCAAGAAAGTCGATTTCTTAATTTATTACAATAATTGGAAGAAAATAATTCACTAAAATAATTAAAACTTAACTAACACAGTACATAGAATTTCAAAAATATATAGGAAGTAAATTTTTCCGTCGAAATTTCAATTAAGGGGTGGCAGTCAATGCACAGACGTGGGGGTCAGACAATGGGATCAGTTGCTGGAGGGGAGGGGGGAGGACTAACGCCACATATGGTCACTCTCGGGATGGTCAGTTGTCGGCACCACAGCAACCTTCAGATCTGCCTCACCGCTTGATCTACCCAGTCCGCGTGTAATTGGTCCGGCGGTGCCGCGGCTTTGATGTTGCATGCTACAAAGTGTGCGGTGCCGCAGATCGAGGTAGTTGTGTCGCGACACTTGTGTCCATGTTAGGGAGTGTCACGACACTCCCATACTCCGTACATGCTAACAATGGAAGCATCCGGCCAATCAAAATCTAATTAAAGTTAAAGAAATGTCACATGGACACTATATTAATCCACTCGCACGCCTTATAAAGAGGACACATACTATCATCATTATTTCCGTTTGGTGGACTTTCCGTCCCTAGCCTTACACGATTAACTCTAACCTTAAATTCAGCTGTGGATGATACATAGCCCCAGTCAAACAGGTAATATTTGAAAATCTTTTTACTTTCAACGTTCTTACATTTTACTTTTCTTGAGCCGACAATATCTACATAACAACGCGCGCAATGTTTACATAATTATGTTACCTGTTGTTTGTTTTTTTTCAAATTTAAGTATTATCGGATCCTTTTCAATCTCATAATTTTAATTTATATATATATATTTTTTTTGTAGTTCGCAATAGATACTTTTTAAAAGTGTGTCCGACAAATCAGATAAAAATAAAAACGTGTTGACTTTTTTTAAAATGATGTAATTATGTAATGAATTCGTTCGGTCAGTCGTCGGCTTGCTGTCTTACTGCTTGAGATCTGCCTGGTAACATTTTCTCTAAACCAAACCATAACCACGCACACACAAACAAACAAAAACCAAGCTCAAGAATGAAACCAGTGGTGTTGATGTGAAGACATAAATCACCTGGGTTGTTTTATTGTTGTTTATTAAATATCCTACTCATATAAGGCAGCGAAATTTGTATATCAATAATGTCAATTTAACATTATCAAATCCGTCACAAAAAAATTGACAAATATAAGTTATCTTTTCCCATTATTACCTCTGTAATCTAATAAAATATTAAAAAGAACCCAAGTTATTAAAAGCGAATTTATTATTTCGCAGAAGAAGTTATTTCAAATCGACTAGGTCAAATTCAAAGAGCCAAATTGATCAGTTTAAATAAATTTAAATTTACAATCCTCGTAAAAGTGGGAGGGCAAATATCACCACGACAAAGAAATGTTTAGTTTCTGACGCTGCTCTTAAAGCTCAGCCTAGCTGCTAGTAGAATGTACACCACTCTAGTCTAAGCAAGTTGGTTACAACCGTGTTTTTCTCTGTCTACACTTGGACAATTTAAGTCAGAGGCAAACTTCGGTCAAGAGATAATTTTTGTCGCGTTCATTAAAATCAGGGGAGTTTACAGACCCAGGGGTAGGGCAAGAGGGGGAATTTGCCCCTTTTTAATATGCCCCAGCTCCCACCAAGTTATTTTTAGCCCAAACTTCCACCAAGTTAGCTCCGGCGCAAACCAAGAATTACACATTTGAAAATACCAGCTCGACTATTAGTAGTTTAGCTCCACACTTGTAGCGAAGATAAATTACCTACACGTAGGCCCAGGCCTGATTCTCATATCGTCAGGTTGTCTTCAAACTCTTCAATCCCTTATTTAATAAAATTCATAAAAATATCCTAGTTTAATTCAGACGAAATGACCAGTTTTGCCAGAATGTCATGGTTTAATTCAGACCAATTGATCAGACTCATCAGAATATCATGGTTATGGGACATTGTCTTCATCTTATACATCCCATATGTTAATTGTACCTGTCGCATATGTGCATTAATCACCACATACGGTTTCCTCATGTGTGAGCTATTGTCATTTATTACAGGAAGTCAACTAGATTGAAAATATGGTGCAGTCGTCCAACATGTTTTGAATAGAGTGTTGGACGAGAAAACTAGATTTAAAACATAATATCGGACTGAGTCCATTAATTTTAAGTATAACATTGGACGAGTCCATTAATTTTAAACCATAACGTTGGGCTAGTCCACTAGATATAAAGCACACTACCGTACGTCTTACATAATAAAACTTAACCTTGGACTTAAGAAAAACACTATTGACCCCTTACAAATCATATGTTAAAATCGATGGTAATTTAGGACGTTGAATTTAGTCTAAAATTTTGTTAAAACTTTCTGTTAAAATCGATGGTAATTTAGGCCTTTAACTTCGGTCTAAAATTTGGTTGAAAACCTGTCAGTTTTGTACTTAACGCTTGTCATGGGAGTTACCTTTCTTGGTGCGCTTTCTCCGACATTTATTACCTCCCTTTTTCATATTTTCTTTAATTAAAATATTAATAGGATCGTCATTTTCTGAGGTTAATTAATACATCGGAAGGGTTATGCGGCACGTCAATCAAACGTTAATTAATGACGTAAGATGTAAAGGTGCGATAAAATGGAGGTGTTGTTTTTGGTGACAATAACAGCCTGAAAATTGATTTTCGAACGAGAAAATTTTAACACGTTTAATTTAATTAGATAATTAATGTTCTTCTTTAGATCGCTTAAATACATTTTGAACATGCGTGCGATCTTGAAAGGTTCTAGCGGTGATGTATATAGGTGAAACATTAATGGGGTCATTTTGTAATTTTAAACCGCGTTTTGTGAGGAAAATGAAAATGAAACTTTAGGAGTTACCGAACCTTGCATTGTCTGACCTAAAAGCTTAATCGATGAGGGAGTTACATTAAGGTGGGTGATGCGATTTTATGAAGCTATATAGGGGGGGGGGGCAACGTTTTCATCTCTATTAAGCATTGTTGTGTTGGAATATATTGATATAGGTAGGAATATACTTAGGTATATACATTTTGGTACATACACGTATGTGTGTGTGTGCGTGTGAAATTATTTTGTGTTTAATGAAGGGTAGTATGAGCAAAATTATTGTGATAAATGTGCTTCCATTTTAACGTAAAGAAATTTATTCAAATATCCTCGGAGCAGTGTTTCTTACAGACATTTTTCTCCGTGGGTAGGACACTAAAAACTTGAGGGGTGGGGGGAGGGGCTCAAATTTCCGGAAGGGGAACAGGTTAAAACATATGTTTTGACATAAATTCTATTTCGTTCGGGGGAGGGAAATGTCTGAAAGAAAATGCATCGCAGGAAACTGCTTCTGTGTAGCGGAGGAGAGTTTTAAGCCCCTAACTTTATGTTGGCGTTGCTGGGGCGATGAACTAACGCCATACCTCTACTAGTGCTGTAACGTGTATGGATGTAAACATAGGCGTAATGATACATACAATCTTAATCTTACATTTCTTATTGTGTTTGGTGTCGTCCCCAATATTAACATCGTCGCTAATCGTCTATATTCAATGTAATCAATAGTTTAATGACGACAAAAATCTATCTAATACAACTCACAACAAGGGCGACTACCGCAGCTAGTTAATGCATGTTTATCTTCCCTTTGATTGCAGCCAGCCAGGCCAGTATGTATGACGACGAGCTGTTCACCCAGAGGGCGCGGGCGTTCCCCCTGTCCCACGGGCTGATGCCTACCCCACAGTTCTCGCCCTTCGCCTTCTCCATGCATCACGACCCTATGTCGCTTGCTGGTAAGTTTGTCAATTTGTAGGGCTGTTTGTAGCGACATTGTTTGTAGAGGCCATGTTTGTAACGGACATGTTTGTAACGGCCATGTTTGTAACGGCCATGTTTGTAACGGCCATGTTTGTAACTACCATGTTTGTAATGGCCATGTTTGTAGAGGGCTTGTTTGTAGCGGCCATATTTGTATCGGCCATGTTTGTAGAGGCCATGTTTGTACCGACCATGTTTGTAACGGCCATGTTTGTAACGGCCATGTTTGTATAGACCATGTTAGTAGCGTCTATGTTTGTATATACCATGTTTGTACCGGCTATGTTTGTAACGGCCATGTTTGTAACTACCATGTTTTTAACGGCCATGTTTGTAACTAACATGTTTGTAACTACCATGTTTGCAACTACCATGTTTGTAACTACCATGTTTTTAACGGCCATGTTTGTAAAGGTCATGTTTGTAAAGGTCATGTTTGTACCGGCTATGTTTGTAGCGTCTATGTTTGTAACTACCATGTTTGTCCATTGCTGACAATATCTCTCCCCCCCCCCCCCCCCCCCCCACAGTGAGCCAGGGCCAACAGTTTGGAGGCTACCACCACCTTGCCTCACCCGACCACAAGCGCGTGCTGTCCGGCAGCCAGGCCGACACAGTGGACAAGAACATCAAGGTCACCCTGGAGAACCGGGAACTCTGGGGGAAGTTCCATTCCCTGGGAACGGAGATGATCATCACAAAAACCGGACGGTGAGTCCGCCCCGTGTTTCGTACCCCGGCCCTCTTGTGCTCGGTGGTGTTGTTGTTGTTGTCGCACCTGCGGCTGTCGTTCTTTCTTTCCCTTCGTCCTACTCGTTTTCCCAAGGGAAATAATTATAACCTACTTACAGAATAGTCTTCCTTTCTGTCCGCCATTAATTATTCTACAAGCTGTCCACTTTGATCTGACTGGCTACGGTTTTTTTTAAATATTTTTTAAAGGATTTTAAATAGTTTAATACATGCAATGAACGGTTACATGTCCATATAAAAAAAAAGATTTTATTCAATATATCAGTTATATATATATACACACACGCAAACATTTAATGTTGAGAAGCTTCTTTTACAATTTGGGCCTGGTTGGATGTTTGGGTGGGATAAAAAAAAAATTCTGCGAGTCACGTCGCTGTACTTCGTGTTGATTGTGTGGGATGGTGTGTGATGGTTAGGGTGGTGTGGGATGGTTAGGGTGGTGTGTGATGGTTAGGATGGTGTGTGATGGTTAGGGTGGTGTGGGATGGTTAGGGTGGTGTGGGATGGTTAGGATGGTGTGTGATGGTTAGGATGGTGTGTGAGGGTTAGGATGGTTGGGATGGTGTAGCAAAGACTACGCCTGAAAACAAAACGATGGGCTAATTCTGTGACTTTTGTCACATAATCATGTGCACCTTTCTTATGGATCGTATTTTTTCTTGCATTCATGGTTTAAACTAAACACGTCTGGTTGAAGTTGAAGTAAAATATTTTTATTTCTTGCTCAAGTCGACTGGCTTAGCAAACATATACTTTTGCCCAATTATAATCAATTTCTTATTTTTAAAATAACATACGAACTCGCAATTACTTTAATTATGCTTTATTTATTAACAAACATTGTTTGTATTTGGGTAAACCTTGATATGGAAATGTCTGTGAAGTTTATGACATCATTCAAACATGGATTGCATTATTACTAAATTGGTAGACTCGTCTTATTGTATCAAGCAAGAAATTATTTCTATATTCAGCAACAGTTGCAAAGAAAAAAAACAAAACAAGAAACAGTTACAATAACAAGCGCCAAACTCTTATAAAAACAAACAAAAAAACAGTTACAATAACAAAGGTAGATCAAGTAAAATAACAAACAAGAAACAGTTACAATAACAAAGAAATTGTTACAAAAACAAACGTAGAACACGCAAAATAAACCAAAAAAAAACAGTTACAATAACAAAGGTAGAACACGCAAAATAGCAAACAAGAAACAGTTACAATAACAAAGAAATTGTTACAATAACAAACACAAAACACATGAACAAAAAGAACCACTTATCCCAGGAATCTAAAAACTCGAATGTCTCTTGACTTCTGCAACGAACCAATAACTTACCGTGACAGCCGCGGTTCAGATGTGTCACTATTGGGCAAACAATGGTGGCTGGGTACTCGGCTACACAACTCGATAGCCCGCCCGCCCCCGCCCGTGGCCGCACGGGTGTACGTTTTCCATGTTAATAGACGCACACGATACGGCACTGGCCATCTTAATAGACACACGCGAAACCCGGTCCGGTTTTTTTATTCGCCTGGGACACCGGCACCCAACAATGGAACCGAATTATTTTTTGCCCATTTTTCGGATTGTCATTCGGAGATTAGTTTACTGGAACAATGCGTTTTACGGTACGTGGTTTCAGGTAGGCGGCGTCAGGCGCGGGGGTGGGTGGAGGAGGGGGGGGGGCATGCTCAGATTGTTACAATTTTTTTTGTGTAAGAATGGTTACATTGGAGGGAGGGTACGAAACGTTAGATTAAAAGGTAAGAATTGCTAGAGTACACATACACAATGTGTGTGCGTGTGTGTGTATTTCACTGCCCCAAAGAACAGGTCCGATTCTATGTACAAGACTTTAAGGTTTATATTCATAGCTCATTAAAATCTGAGTTACACAAACACTGTTCACATGAATGGTTTGATGACTATCATTAATTCATTAATTACCGATTTTTGTAATAAAGTTTGTCCCTGTAAAAAACTTGCTGGGTTTAAAAGCATGATAGAAATCTGACATTGAAAAAAAAAACACGAGTTCCTCATTAAGCTAATTAACCTAATTGCAAACGATGTAAAACTGCTCCGGGTGTATGTCCCGCTGTCGCCACGAATTCCCACAGATTCGCCACGTCGTCGGCTTGTCGCAGAAAATAAAACTTTCGCACGTCACGACAATACTTTGTCCTCGATTTACGGCTGAATTCAAGTGTCAATCATGATTGTTGCCGTCGATCCTGCGATTGCCGGGTGGAAACCGGCAAAAACAACATCGTTGTTTGAACATAAAACCGGCTTCGCGCTTGGCCCCGTATTGATAGCTCGGCTTATCGCCGGCCAGTACGATATCCATTACAATAGCCGCGGCCGTAGATCATAGCTGGGACGAAAATAGCCGGGCGGAAAGACAACACGGCGCTGTGGGAACCAGAGCCCAAACGTCGGTTTAACTGTCTGCCGGGACGTTACTGTGACGTCACTTCCGGAAGTTTAGGCGGCGATGAGCCTCCAAGATTGGCATTAAGATTACGACCGTAATTGAGATTAAAACAATGATTAAGATTAGGGAAGGATTATGGTTATAAACTACGGTATCTTTAATCAGTGGAGTGGTTGAACATTTTATCCCCCCCCCCCTTCTTATCATAGCAATGCCTCGCTTGTCGCCTAAGGTGTCAGTGGGAAGGTTCTGGATGGTAGGGTCAGTTTTAGGGAGATGGAGGGGGTGTTGGGGTGTCTGTATGTCTAGCGAGGGACTGAGTAAGGCAATTGTAACATTTTAAAGTTATCCTTTACAGCCCGAGTTGTATAGACGTAGAGTGACACAGGGAAAAACGTAAGTTTTAGCGTAATGACAAATGATGGCGAGGAGTTCATTATCTTTTCATGTTCGTGTACTGGACATGGGGCAGAAGAAGTAGAGTTCGTCTGTTTCAATAACCTTAGAGCATGAAGGGATAATGTGGTCAGCAATACACCCAGCTGCCATTATTTCCCTAACCAGAGCTGGGTGGACTCAGGGATTCGAACTCGAAGTCTTTGAGCCAGCAGTCAAACGCTCTACCATTTGACCACAGTTACCGAATTAGTAGCGTTTATCGTGTCTAGCGCATTTTTAAGCTTTAGAAAAACGTTGTACCCAGCCACCATATACACAACTATTTCAGTGAACTCACAAATACCACCGTTAATTGTCTGTTAACTTCTCATATAAAACCAACCCGCTCTGGTCCGGCTAAATACCGAATGCATTGTTTCGTAGATCAACAACCGAAACACACCCTAGACCCTGTCGCGACAGTGTTTAGTGCCTACTACATCAGCCACTATTAGCCTCCGTCAACTTGACCTCTGACCATTGTCCATTTTTAAAAAAAACGGGACAATACTCCTGAGTTTTCTATCCCGTTTAAATTTAATTCTTTGTATTCCTTAACAATGCCCTACTCACAAAGACAGCTACGTCCAGACACCTACCTGACCTCCCCACAAAGACAGCTACCTGACCATCTCGCTACAAGACAGACCAGTTAATTTGACCAGTGCACAAAGCCCGCGGTCGTCTATCGATAATTGGTGTAAAAACAAAGTGCCCAACGTCTCTCTACACTGGACCCCTCTGTTGTTACAACGGCCCTTAAGTCTGGCGCCTTCCCTCCCCGCTAATTGTGTTCATATTCATGCCAGTACATCACTCATTGAGAAACAATTGTCACATTTTTGCTACTTACATTTTGCTCCTTATATTTTGCTCCTTACATTTTGCTCCTTACATTTTGCTTGATTCTAATTTCCGTTTAGGACTAATAGTTAAAATTTTGGCAGTCCGTTCCTTCAACTATAGTTTTTTGTTAAAGCTGTGGTTAATATCAAGGTTAGTTGTAGGCTTAGCGATAACAAGCTTGTTTAAAATAAAGTACGAATTATATTTATTTTATAATATATTTTACTGATCATTTATTTAACCTGAACTATTTTTAAACTTATTTTTCTTAGGTCACTTAGGTCAATTTTTGTAACCCAGTTTTGAACCTTTTTTTTTTTTTTGTGATCGATATCTTTCACGTTTTTCTGATTAATGCATCCAATTTTTTATCTTATGGGATATTAAAACAGTCATTAAAATTTAATTTAAAGATCACCAAATTCGTTAACATTAGGGGAGATAACTAAGGAGTACAATCAATGGACTGCTCAAGTGAGTTAGAGTTCACGAATATTGGGTATAAATCTGAGACCCGTTCTGATATGTGTCACAATAAATCTAGATATATATGCGAGTAATATATCGAAAGACGTTGTTTTAAACCAGTATGTTAATAGACGTGAGAGGTGGCGACTTGATTAAGAAAGGCAACAATGGAAATATTTAAAACTAACAGTGCTAAAAGTTGAATATAAAACATAATAATAAATACATAAAAACGTTTATAATTGCAAGCTTTTATAAATGCACTAAAAAGAAGAAAAGAATACATTTTGTATTAATTAAAAAATAATTTTTAAAAATATAATAAATCTGCGGTTACTTTATATATAAAAGAAATTACTTTAAAAAACAACTAGCGCTTGTTAAAGATATATCTACATAGACCAACGCTTTTACTAGCAGTTTCGACAAAAAGACTTTTTTGGTGTTGTCTAAATGTACTTTAGCACCGAGCCCCAGTTGCAGGAGTAAAAACAAAATGGCGCCACCTGCAGTGGTTTAATGAAGAGTCTCTAATATTATTGCATTCACCGGCGTCATTGGAGATAGGGCCAGGGGGATAAAGAGCGATGAACCCTCAACAATCTACCCCTATATTCGTATTTTATGCCCCTTTTAAAAGCTAAGTACTCCAAATAACGGCAGATATAATCAGCGTTCACACCACTTGGCATTGTTTGTTTAGCGTCATGTGGCGGGGATTAGCGCATGCGCAGATTGACTTCCTGCTCGCGCAGTGATGCT